CAGCACTGGGCCTGTGGTCTTGAATATTATGACATTTCAAGTGCTCATCAAGTGCTTGTCATAATGTTACCTGCCTCAATTAACCTCCTCGCCCGCACTCTGGGTGAAAAGATTTTTTTCTTGGATCCCTTCTAAAACTCCTGCCTTTCACCTTAAAATTAGTGGGAAGTTTTTCAAACAAGGCCAAGAGCTATGATATGAATTTGAATTGAGTTATTATCATGTGTACTCACATGAGTACAGTGAAAAGATTACAAGTCACCACTTGTGGTGCACCTTAGGCACAAAGGTACCTGGGTATATAGATAAGATTGTAGAAGCTGGAGAATGTGAATGGGATCAATGTTCAACTGAAGTGAATTTCTAGTGAAAGAATGATTTGAGGGAAATGATAGCATTTAGTATTTAGAATGATAGAAAACTTACAGGACAGAAAGAGGCCAGTTGGCTCATTGTGTTGCTGTGCGTAAAATGAACTCAGCTAGTCCTGCTCCCATGCCCTTTCTTCATAACCTTGAAATGTTTCTCTTCAGATAATTATGCAATTTCTTATTCAATTTCACAATGTTCCCAGGCAGTGCATTCAGGATCCAAAACTTTCAGGATGTTTAAAAAGAACAATTTCATCATGTCACTTTTAATTTTAGGAAATTGAAGGCAGAACAATCAGTGTCTTCTGCATTACAAGCAAGGTTGGTGGGGTGTACTGATACCTTTTTAGTTCCAATCTCCCACTGGTCATAACAGTGCCAGTATAGCCAATTATAAAGCTTCTAGGTTCCAACTGGTTTAATACCAGAAACAATTCAGCTTGGGTTATGGTCAACAAAATAGGGTTTGACTGCAAAGATAGATATGACTTCTTTTCTTTCTAACATCTCAAATCCAGTGAGATAAAGATGGTTCACAAACAAACAAAGGTTGAGCCCCCCACAGAGCAAACCAAATGGGAAATGTGATCAAACACATCCTGGGGACAGCTACACCGCCATCCGTGGACCACCAACTCCATCATGGGCTGCCTTACAGATGCTCATGTTTTGGTGATCCATCTTCCTTTTCTGTGACTATCCCATGGATTCTTGGGACTGCACTTCAGCACTTATTGACAGGCTCTAGTTGTTCAGAAACAGCAAGCTTTACCAAACAAGTAATGCCCTGGATTTTCCTGAGGTCTAATCTTCCTCTGGTGCCAAAAGTAAATACTGCTGATGGGATTTCAACATCCACTCCCTTCTGTACTAAACTGTTGTGCAAAATATTATTATATTTTTCACAGCTCATGGGGCATCCCTGAGCCCACTCAAATGCTCTAGGACTTCCCTGAGCCCCAACTGTACAGGACTCGCTCAGTTCAGTTTCCTAACGTTAATTTTCTGGGGGCTTTTCTTCAAGCCTTTCACAGCTTCTGGAACTCCCCAAACCCTCACCCCACAAAGCTACTCAACAGCTGTAGGTCATCCTGGGGTGGCATGGTGGCACAGTGCTTAGCACTGCAGCCTCACAGCGCCAGGGACCCGGGTTTGATTCCACCTTCGGGCTGTGTGGAGTTTGCACGGTGTCCCCATGTCTGCATTGGTTTCCTCCAGGTGCTCCAGCTTGCCCCAACAGTCCAAAAATGTGCAGGCTAGGTGGATTGGCCACGCTAAATTGTCAATAGTGTTCAGGGATGTGTAGATTAGGTGGGTTATGGGGGATGACTCTGGGTGGGATGCTGTGAGGATTGGTGTGGACTTGTTGGGCGGAAGGGCCTGTTTCCATACTGTAGGGATTCTATGATCTATGATCTCTGTTGTACATGCTTACACTCGCATGCACGCACTCGAGTCTCATTACCTGTCCTCTTGAGTAACTCCTGTGCTGTCCCGAGTGACCTATCGAAACAAGGCAAAACAGAATAGAAGTAAAATTTTGCAAGTCAAATGTATCAAATTCTGAGAAGTCTGTTCCTTAAATGTTACCATTTTGACAATGCTGGCTTACAGCACAAATTGCAAATGACAAAATAATAGAAATTCTTCATGTCTGTTTCTCAACCTTTCCAGCAATGGTAGCCATATCTCTTCATCTTCCATGTCCAGACACCTCTGGAGGTAGATTTACATCTCCCAATGACAGTTCTTCAATCTCCCAGATGAAAAATAACAGAGATCTTCAGATTAAACAGCATTTAACACTTAAGTGGATCAGGACAGATCTAATTCAATTCTATTTTAGAGTCATGCTGTTTAAAATCACTCTTATAAAATTCATCAGACCAAAAATTTTTTATTTTTTTCCCTCAAGTTTTAAAAACCTCCAGATTGAAATGCTACAACTTAAAGTCAAATTCCTCTTCACCACTGACCAAATGGGCTAGTGCATATTGGGGAATTAGGTGCGCTGCACATGTTCAGCGTGCAATCCACATTTTCCTCTAGCGATAGATCTGGGCAAAGTATGTAGCTTCCAAAGATGATGGAGCCTTCAGCTAAAACCTTTGTGATGGTAAAAGAAACAAAACAGTAAACAAATGAACAATGCAACCTTATTTTGAACACATTCTAATTACTGAAGGAGAGAACAGCATTTAAAACAAACTGCAGAAAACATTTTGGGAGAATTGTTTTAGTTCATCAATGGGATTTTGCTATATTTGTTCTAGGTTAAGTCACGAGGATTCTTGCAGCATGGGAGGAAGTCATTTGAATCATCATTCCTGTGCAGCTCTCCAAAGGAGCATCTCACTTAGTGCCATTCTCCTATCTTCTCCTAGTAACTCTGGGCATCATCACTTCTCAAATAACCATTCAGTTCATTTTTGAAAGGCCCTAGATTGAATCTGACTCCTCCATTGTATTCTAGATCCTAACTAAAGTGGCCATAGTCCTAGCGGACCGTAGGGCTGCTCTCTTACGAGAGAGTGACTGTAGCTACTTGCTGCATGAAAATGTTTTACCTTGTATCACTTTTTAAATCTATATCCTCTTGTTCTCGATCCTTACACAAGTGGAATATTTTCTCCCCATTTACTCAGTGGAGACCTCTCACAATTTTCAAAACTTCAATCAGATCTCCTCAATGGTCTCCAAGGAGAGCAATCCCAGTTTCACCAGTGTTTCTCTATAATTGAAATTCCTCATACCTAGACACATTCTCATGAACTAATTCTTTGCCCTGTCCAATGTCTTCCCATCCTAAAGAGTGGCACCCAGAACTGGATGCAGTGCTCCAGCTGAGGCTAAACGAGTCAGAGATAATAAGAACTGCAGATGCTGGAGTCAGAGATAACAGTGTGGAGCTGGAGGAACACGGCAGGCCAAGCAGCATCAGAGGAGCAGGAAAGTTGATGTTTCGGGTCAGGACCCTTCAGATTTGGGTCTTTAGTTGCTGGATTGTATACTTTTGAAGTTTTTTTTGCATTTACCGAGTCATAGAGATGAACAGCACAGAAATGGACCTTTTGGTCCAACTTGTCCATGCTAACCACATATCCTAAATTAATCTAGTCCCATTTGCCAACATTTGGCCTATATCCCTCTAAACCCTTCCTATTCATGCACACATCCTGATGTCTTTTAATGTTGCAATTGTACCATCCTCCATCACTTCCTCTGGCGGTTCATTCCATACACACACCACTCTCTGCATGAAAAGGTTGCCCCTAGGGTGTCTGTCAAATCTTTCCCCTCTCACCTTAAACCTATGCCCTCATTTTTATAAACTTGTATAAGGTCACGTCTCAGCCTCTGACTCTCCAGGGGAAATAGCCCCAGCCTATTCAGCCTCTCCCTATAGCTCAAACCCTCCACCCTAGCAACATTCTTGCAAATCTTTTCTGAACGCTTTCAAGTTTCCTATAGCAGGATGACCAGAATTGAATGCAGTATTCCAAGCATAAGATGTGGTGAGACGCTATTTTGGTGAGAGACTATGCAATTTTTAAAAAATCTTCCTTCTTAGTACTGCAATGTTTCCACACTTAGCTTTCCTCTGTTAGCTCATGACTATTTTTTAAGTGAGACCTTGTCTGACTCTTCAGCAGAGTTGGATATCACAGTCCTCATGCCACAGATGGTTGGGTGTGAGGAGAACCCCGAACACTGGTTGATTGTTCTAATTTATCTCCCAACCCATGGATTCTAGTAGTAACGTGGGTGAGATTGGTCACTCTGTACAGCAAAACTCGATCTTGCAGGGCCTGAGGAATTTTGACACCTTAGCCCAACAAAGTTGCATTGAAGAAAAAGTTTATGTACAACTTTGATGGGAGTCTGATATACAGAGTATGGCATTTATTGTATCAAGTTCTGAAGAAGGATCCCTGGACTCAAAATGTTAACTCAGTTTTCTCTGCAAAGATGCTACCAGGTCTCCTGAGTTTCTCTACAAATTTCTGGTTTTGTTTGTATCAAATTTCCAGCATCTGTAGTTCTTTGTTTATTTTGTTATGGTATTTATGGCATTGGAATGAGTTTTTATACTAACAGATGGCAACACTGAGATCCTTCTGACGATAACATGGCAGAGACATGCTGGTCCAGGGTGGCAAACAGGTGCTAGTCATGGGATAATCATCACTATGAGCATGTATTCAAAAGTCGATCCTGATTTGCTTAAGGAAAGGCTGCTGGAAACTCCACAGATCCATCCACTATAGCTTCATTGGGTTCGCACATTAGAACATTTGCTGATGTCATAAAGTTCAAGAATTTGGTCAGAACTTCAAACCTCAAAATTTTTAACTGTGAGACGTAACAGGATAGCAGACAGTAAGTATGAGAGCCCACTGAGTGTGAAAGATTGCATGTGGTTATTCTTGGCCTTTTTTACAAAGAGTCTAACGCAAAGTACATGATGCTGATTTGAGAGTCAGTTTGTATTAAGAAACAGCATTCGAACCACCTTGAAATGGTGGATTAGTATATAATTTGCTGGTTACCTCTCCCTCTGTGAACTTGTTAACAGCTGAAGCATGAGTGGTTTTGATGTGTAACCTAACAATGTGTTTACTTCACTAGAGCGAACTCCACGTATCGAAGCTATTTCATCACCCTAATATATTGCCATATAGAGCCACATTGATAGCCAACAATGAAGTGTGGGTTGTGACACCATTCATGGCCTACGGTAAGTCTGATGTCTCTCATACTATAGTTATTTTTCTCACTTCCAAAAGGCAACTTTAAAAAATGTTCTAGTTTTTCACGTTATTGATACCTCTTGCTCCAGCAATATATTTGGAGTGAGAAAGAAGATCAGAGATATTTAGCATTGCCCATGAATGCCCAGGCGTCAATCAAAGGTGTGTTGAGATATGTGCCATCACTGTGACACGATGCAAGGTGTAGGATTATTACACTGGATGGATCTAATACTAGCCTTGACACTGGAGTATTGATCACTAACTTCTGGAACGTGGAAACAAACTTAGCTCCTAGCAGGGCAGTTTCAATCCTGTTCCTGATGTGTGTGACCTTACAGTACAAAGATGTCTCTCATTCACCATGAAACTAAATGTACTGTGCTTATCGTGGGAAGTGTAGAGGGAGCTTAATTCTATCTAACCCCATGTTGTACCTGACCTGAGAGTGTTTGATGGGGACAGTGCAGAGTATACTTTACTCTGTATCTAACTCTCTGCCGTACCTGCACTCGGGTTTTGTTAAGACCAGTGTAGAGAGAGCTGTATTCTGTATCTAATACCATGCTGCATCTGTCCTGAGAGTATTTGACGGCAACAATGTAGAGAGAACTTTATATCTAGCCCCGGGCTGTATATGCCCCGGTTGCTTGAATATCATGCTAGCATTTTCCACTTCTTTTTGATGTGAGAGGCACAATTTAAATCTGAAGAAGGATCTAGACCTGAAACGTCAGCTTTCCTGCTCCTCTGATGCTGCTTGGCCTGCTGTGTTCATCCAGCTCTACACCTTGTTATCTCAGATTCTCCAGCATCTGCGGTTCCTACTATCTCTATCTAATGAATTAGTTTGTTATGAGGGGTTATGACAGATTTTCATCCCTGTCTTAGACAGGTCAGTTTATTGATTTTAATTGTTTTATCCCATCTAATTGCCAGGTTCTGCTAAAGATCTGATGAACACCCATTTCACAGATGGTCTGAATGAGCCCACAATTGCATACATCCTGCAGGGGGTGCTAAAGGCCTTGGTTTATATTCATAGGATGGGATATGTGCACAGGTAATATGACTGATAGCTCAGATTGCAAAGCATGAAATAGATATGCTGACATTGGAAACTCCTTCTAACAGCGGTATGTGTACCTCAATGATTTTAAATGTCTCCATCAGATAGTTCTCTTATCTCCATTGTTCCAATCAATACACACCCCAGTTTCAGAAGTCCTTTCTCATATTTGTATTTTTGCCTGCCAAGCAACGTAATCTATATCTGACCGCCTCTATTGGAAACTATGGTGCACAAAACCATCAACACAGCTCAACTGTGAATATATAGATTCTCTTTTACATCCCTCCTTTAATGTTCTATTCCTGTCATACAACCCTGTGTTTAACAGCATTTAGGGTCTTATTCACTTGAGGTTTTTTAATGTCATGTGAGCCTAAATTCACAGGTCCCTCTGCAGTTCCAAACTAACATCCTATTATCTAGCTGGTATTTCTCAGACATCTGAGTGTCAAGCTTTTTATATGCCCACCATCATCTGTAGCTGAGACATCAGCCATTGTGATTTTCTTTCAGAGTATACTCGTTCATTACATGGACGTTTACAGCACAGAAGTAGACAATCATGTCCATGCTGTTCAGCAAAGATCTGACTACATCAGTCCCATTTTCCTATTCTTGGCCCATAGCCATGGAGGCTAAGACAATGCCGGTGAATATCTAAATATAGCTTAAATGTTATCAGAGTTTCTGACTCAGTCACCCTTTCGGGCAGAGTCCCAGACCCCCACCACCCTCTGAATAAAAAAAAACTTTCTCTTCAATTCTTGTACCTTCTACATCTTACCTTAAATCTATAACCCTTGGTATTGACCCTTTTGCTAACGAAGAAAAAGTGCCTTCCTACCCACCTTGTCCAAGCCCCTCATAATCTTTTATACCTTTATCAGATTCCCTCTCAATCTTCTCTCTTCTAGGGAAGACAACCCAGTCTATCCAATCTTTCCTCATAGCTTAGATCCTCCAGCCCAGGCAGCATTCTGCCACCCTCTCGACTGCAGTCCATCCTTCATATAGAGGTAGTAGGAACTGCCGAGGCTGGAGAATCTGAGATAACAAGGTGTAGAGCTGGATGAACACAGCAGGCCAGGCAGCATCAGAGGAGCAGGAGAGCTGACGTTTCAGGTCAGGA